CTGCCCAGATGGGCCCAGGGCTAGTCACCTGTACCAGTGCGCCCAGCCCCTCGCAGGTCACCTGCACACTCACACCCGTGAAATGTGCCACGGGGACCTGTGAAGCCTGGGAGACCACACCGCCAGAGGCCTCGAACGAACGAAGAACAAACGCACCATGACCTCAACAACGTGTACCGCGAGGCCGCCCGGCGTCCAAGGGCACCACCTTCTGGCAGCTCGAAGAGACTACAAGGCCTCTGGGGACGCGGCGCCCTCTAGGGGCTGGAGGACCGAATCACAGGTTCGCCGGAAGGCAGCAGCTCAGACAGCGGAAAGGGGGCACAGAAGAGCACGGGGAGCACCGCCCCCACCCCGCCCCCGCCCCCGCCTCTGGGTGGGTGGGCTCTCACTCTCAGCGCCTAGCGGACTTGAAGCGCCCTCCCTCGACTTAGAATTCAGCCGATCGCAGCAGCACCCATTAAACCATCTCACTGTGTTCACTGTCTTGACCTGCCCAGAGCTGTCTGAAAGGATAAGTGAGCTGCAGCACTGTCAGATGGAAAGAAGGCTCTTGCACGGAGCAAAGGACGCCTTGTGGGAGGAGGGCAAGGCTCCTTCTGGGACATAGGAATACTTGTCCAGCTTTTGCAAGATGAGGACCACTCAGTGCTTGCAGCCCCCAAATCTGGCTCAGAGAAGACATATGGGTCCAGGGTTAGGGGAGAGAGACTTCCTAAGAACAGACAGCTGCTTGTGGATAATCTTCATGGAGTGCGGGAGGGACCACTCCACTGTAGGCTCCACTGTAGCTTGCACTCTCCCTTTCAGGTACTCAGGCCCACCCACCACAAAACAGGTTGGATGGGCTGTGACGTGGCAGAGCCCTTGCCGGGCCTGTGAGACCCCGGGTTCAATTAATAAAAACAAAGTTTCAAGAAATAAATTGTAGGAGCCCATGACTGGTTGTCCGGAATATGGAGTGGGTAGGGATGCCTCTGGGTGGGATCTGACCCAGGTGTGTGAAAATCCCTGAGGCCCAAACCCTCCATCTCATTCAATTCCTTGGATTTGCTTTCCCTAGTCACAGAGAAGTGTGGCTAAGAAAGCTGAGGCCCTGGAGCCAGAGACCAGCTGGGACCTGGCACCATCACTCACCTGTGTGGGGTGCTCCAGGGATGCTTCTCTCTTTACACCTCATCTTCCTCTCCTGTAAAACAAGGAAGTCATTCCTTTCTGCTGGGATTTTCAGATGGACCAGGGAAGACCAGATGTGCCAGATATCTATGTTCGCACCCTGCCTTCCCATTTCACCCTTAGCTAGGGGATCTTGAAAGACACACAGATAGCTGATAGACCCTACTATCTCTCTGCTCTGAGGTCCGAAGTCCTTTAGGAGAAAATCATAAAAAAAAAAAGAAAAAGAAAGTTAGCCATTCGACCAGAAAAAGGCACATAGCCCCCACACCATGGCCTTGGTCCCTGGCAGGAATGCCTTCCCTGGCTCTAAGACAGGCGCTACCTTCATGAACCTCGGTATCCGCTGCAGCCATGGTGGAAAGTACAGCAGTCCCCCTACCCATATCAGCCTCTAAGGCAGATTCTGAAGAAGAGCAAGAGGCAGGGCTGGTCTTGGAGTTGTCCTGCTCCAGGCCCAGCCCCCAGCCATACCTTCTGTCCCTCCTTCCTCTAGCTTCATGATCATCTGGGTCCAGTCTTGGCTTCTGTCCTTGGTTCTTGTCCCAGCCCCCCCCACCCTCATTGAGTCGTTGCCTCCTCCTCCTCCCTTCTTCCCTCCCTCTTACCTCTGAGGCTCACCTCCACCCACTAGCCAGGCCCCCAGGAGCTGTAAGAAGTAGATGGACCTTCTGGCAGGTACATAGCCGCTTCCAGTGACAGAAGCAAAGAAGAGGTATCAGGCCCTAGGTCCTAGCTGACCCGGGCCCTCTGAACACAGCAGCAGTTAGGGAGGACTCACATGCTGAGACAGAGGCAGAGCTGTGGTTTTCCCCTTCCACGTAGAATGTGCCCTGTAAGCAGTCGGTATGTTGCCCACTTTTATATGTCTATCCCTGTACTTCAGGCCTGAATAAATAAATTAGGGGTACCTAAGACTGGTCACACTGTGCCTACCCTCCTGAGCTGTCCCTCTGTGGGTCCTATGGAAACCTCAGTTAGAGAAAGTGACTGGTAGAGACAGATTCAGACAGAAGAGGCAGCGAGCTGTAAGACACACAGATCTGGAATGGGAATGGTAAAGGCACAAACAGAGGCAAGGACAGACACTGGCCTAGTCGGGAACATAGGGGGACCAGGCCTAGAGCCAACCTGGGCTGGCTGACCACAGCAGGCCGTGAGGGCTGAGCTTGCAAGTCTGAGCAGTGACTCATGGAGGCCAGCCCTGGTTCTGCTGGCTGCTGAATCTACTCACAGAAGCCTTTTCCACTGAGATCGTGAAATGTGGACAAGCCCCTCCCCAACTCCTTCCCTAGCCCTCTCCTGCCTCTCTTTTCTTGACAACATGATCAAAAAAAAAAAAAAAAAAAAAGTGACCTCTGAGCTTTGTAGGCTTGGGGACAGAGGACCGATGGCCCCAATATCTTGTATCCTGTGCACCCTCCTTCAGTACTGCTATACGGTTGTAAACAGCAAAGACAGCATATCTGAAAACCTTCCAGACCTCTCTCATCTTTGACCTAAATAAACCCAGGCTCCTTCGTATGGTATTCAGGGCCACCAGAGACATCACGGCCTTTTTTCAAGGTCCCAGACTGCTCTTGAAAACACAGCTGACTAAAAGTGTCTTTTCTCCTACCGTCTTCTTTGATTTAGAAGGCCCTCATCATGATCAAAAATCCTCCCTTTTAGCTTGGTGTTGTGGCACATGCCTATCATGCTAGCACTTGAGATGCAAAGGCTGGAAGATCACAAATTCCAGGCTAGCTTAGTCTACATAGTGTGTTAAAAAGTTCCAGGTATGGACCTGTCCTTTTTTTTTTTTTTTTTTTTAAGATGGAGGGAAGCTGGGAGATAGCTTACAAGCATATGGCCCTGAGTTTGATCCTCAGAACTGCCCCCCCCCCCTTTTTTTAAGCTAAACATGCTGGCACACTTGTAATCTTAGCACTGGGAAGGCAGAGACAGGCAGAGCCTGGGCTCACTGGCCAGCCAGCCTAGCCTACTTAGCTCCAGGCCAGTGAGAGACTTGTCTCAAAAACTCAAAAGTCAATGACCTCTGAGCAACATCTGAGGCTGTTCACACACACACACACACACACACACACACACACACACACACACACACACGCACACTTTCCCCTTTAAGGCCTGGATTCCCTTCTCCAGGGGAGTACCTCTCCAGGTAGAATAACCACCCTGCCATTTTGTCCAGTCAAGTGGCCAAATGTAGACAAACTCTTGACTTGCTTGCTCCTACAGAAAAAATGCCTGACAGCTTTTCCCACGCCCCAAGCTGTCCTCACTAGCTTTCTGGGCCTCCAGAGATCTGCTAAATCAAAACTCTTGGAGTAGGCGGGTGTGGTGGCACATGCCTTTAATCCCAGCACAGCAGGTGGGGGCCACAGGTAGGCAGATCCCTGTGAGTTTGAGGCCAGCCTGGTCTACATGCTGAATTCCAGGCTAACGGGGGCTGCATAGCGAGACCCTGACTCCAGAGACCGAACACCTTGGGGTAGGCTCAGGGATCTCTGTGTGAACAAGCTCCCCAGTTATCCTGACACTGAAAGGCAGCGGAACATCCTAAGGCAGCCTATTGTTTCAACCTCTTTACCTACTCTGACCTGCTGAAGTAGCCTCCCCAATGCCCTTCTGTTTCTAGCTGTCCTTTCTCAGAATCCAGTACTTGAGCTTCCAGATAATCTGCTACTTCTTTCTGTCCCCCCAGTATCTTCCATGCATCTGTGCCTTGCAGTATGAGTGAGGTAACACAAACAGTTATAATTCATTACCACAGAGCCAAGGCTGGGGCAATTCCTTCCCATTTTACCATTTTACCTAGCAGTAATCTTACGAAGTGTTAAGTACGGTTGTTAATCCTTTTATGATTGTGGTTTTGTTTTTGTTTTTGAGGCAGGGTTTCACTGTGTACCTCTGTCTGGAACTTGCTATATAGACCAGGCTGGCCTCAACTCCACAGGGATCCGCCTACTTCTGCCTCCACAGGGCTGGGATCAGAGGTATTTTGCCATGACACCCTGCTTCAACTGTATCATTTTAGAGATGAGAAAACTAAGGTTCGTAACAAGTCCCAAATAATATGGATAGTAACAGCTAAGACTGACTCAAGATTGTTAACTACTTATATTAACTATTAGGTCTCATCACGGCCAGCTTTTAGCAACTTGAAGGAAAAGCTAAGTCACTCTTCCATCTCTTTACTTTTTCCCTGTGTGAGCAAGTCTGTGGGTCTTTGATGTGTTCCAAGGTCCTCAGACCCAGAGACAAGGAAAGTGAGCTAGTGATTGCTCGCTGGGGGGTGGATGAAGAATGACTTCTCTCGAGCTCATGGCTTTGTGAGAGGATGATGAAGATGTTCCATTCTTATTTCATGAGAAGGTTTGTACAACTATGTGAACATACTGGAAACAGGGGCTGGACAGAAAGCTCAGTGGTTAAAGCACTTGCTGCTCTTTCAGAGGACGAAAGTTTGCTCTCCAGCACCCACATCAGGAGGTTCCCATGCCACTACAACTCCAGGGGATCCAGTGCCTCTGGGGCGTCTGAGGACACCTGCACTTTTACGTACATACCTACATGCAGACACATAGACCTACACAGAGTTGAAAATAGATCTTGTTTTGAAGCAGCATCTATGTAGCTTTGGCTGTCTTTGAACTTGCTACATGGACTTGAACCCATGGAGACAAGCCTGAGTGCTTTGCCTCCTGACTGTTGGGATTTAAAGAAATGCACCACCATACCCATCAAAAATAAATCCAAAAAAAAAAAAAAAAAAAAACAGAAACAAGAAACTCAACTATACATTTTAAACAAGTGAATTTTATACCGTTTTATTCTCAAAGATGCTTTTAAAAATTCTTCAGACACAATAGGAATTGGATGGGGAACACTGTTATCTAACGATGTCAGGGCCTGTACTGCTTTCTTATGTCTCCTAAATTCCCAGGGTAACATTTGGCTCACACCTATCTCTACATTTTCCTAGAAATGTGTCTGTGTCACTACATTTAGAGCCTTCAGCCTTGGAATAGCTTAGACCCTGACCTCTAGGACTTTCCCATTTTTGCTGACTCCCAGTTCTAAGACACCTTCTTTCCCAACCCATAAAGTGATCCCCACTTTATGCCACTCCATGATGCCACTCCATGCCTCCTGCTAGGGGAATAATGTTGGAAAAGTGCTTACGGGGACCAGAGGGACTAACAGTTCTACCTAAGACCTCCTCTCCTACTATTCTCTCCTCCTGAAAAATCTTGAAACAGGCAGATCTCTTCTTGTCCCCACCCCTGAAAGCCTGAGACAAATGGGAGAGGACACTCATCCATCTGAGCGGTGTTTAATGCATCTTGGGTTTAAGGTACAAAACACAAAGCAGGGGCTATCCCCGGGAAAGCCACCTGTTACTCAGCCGGCTGTCCCCTCCCCGACATTGCAGCCAGGCATCCCAGCCCCTATGGGAATGGTGTAGTGACCCTGAGATACCTGACTCCTTCTCCCTTTGGGAAAATTTTGAGATGGTGACCCAGGCACCTAGAGGCCTCTATCTCCTATTCAGAAATCCCAGATCCAAGGTCCAGAAAGTTCCAGACTTAGACTTAGAGCAGCAGACTGGCTACAAAGCAGCTCTGAACTAAAGCCTGGCCCAGTGCCTAAGTCCTAGAAAAGGAGTCACATTACCTTAGTACCTGGCAGCAAACAGAAAGAGCTAAAGCAAGATGTGGAGGTAGACTCCCACTCCTCCTGTAGCTGACCCAACAAGTGAGCGGAACCAGGGACAGAGGCCTGCCTTGTATCCTAGCCCGGGCACTCTGAGGACCGGCCCCTTACAAAGCCTCATGCCAGCACACTGATCCTGACCTGGTGTTGGAGATGGGGTGGAGGACAGGGAAGACCAGTATATACTGAAGAATGATGCTTTGCAGGGATAAACAGCTGCCAACAGTAAGTCCAGGAAGACACCCTAGGGACGGGCCTATCCCCTAGAACTCTGGACTGGATCCTGAGCCATGTTTCGAAAGGAAAAGTGGAAAAGGGACGGGAGCAGGGAGAATGGCAAGAAGGGTCTCTGTGAGGACCAGCCCAGGAAACCCTTCTGACCATTTCCACGGAGGCCCAGTTGCTACTTCCAGACCCCCTAGCCCCACACCAGGCTGAGTAGGCTTCTCTGCCCATGGCCTGAGGCACACTCCCCACGGGGGCTCCACATCCTGCTCCTCCCTGAGGCCCTGGGCTACAGCCGGCCTCCTCTGTTGAACTGGATGCACCAGTGGGAGTTGGCAGTGCCTGGACTAAGGTGAGTGTGGTCCTTGTGGCCCATGAGGGGTTGTAGCTCCTGCTGCTGGGGGATGTCAGCACTGCTCTCACTTCGAGACCGGCCAGCTTTGGCCAGGCTAGGGGGAAAGGCGAAGCTAGAGTGGGGGTCAGAAGACAGGTCAAGAGGAACCTGTGGTTCTTCCATGCCCACTGGGTGGGGAGGCAATCGGGTTAAAGTAGGGGGCTGGGTACAGGGAGGGGATGCCAGGCTCTCCAGTGATGAGATACTCTGGTTCCAGCCTGTCTGCATGTCCACAGGCACGATCTTGGTTGTTTCTGAAGACACATACACAGCTAGGTCTTCCTGTCCGCTCTTCCAGGGTAACTCCTTCTCTGCACAGGTTGGGGAGGGTGGGATGATTCGTGGGCTCGGGCATACCTCATGGCTTCCTGGGAACACAGAGAAAGTACATAAGAGTTCATTGCTGGTGAAGAGGAATTCTCAAATGCACTCAGGGTCAGTGTGTTACACTCATCTGTGCTGTACTCAATGTCTTCCTGGAAGGAAGCATGGTTTGTCCTGTGTCCCCGCCCCAGCACAGGGCCACACACAGACCATTTGTTCCCTAGGTACATACTGAACAAATGGCAATTAACTACGGCTTCAGAAGATCGAACAGGAAGGGGATCTTGTCTCTGACCACCCTCGTCAGCAGGAGCTCAGAAACTGTATCCTGCTAAGCCTCATCCTGACCAACCACTGAGACAGCAGTAAGGAGGGAGGAGCACCCTACTCAGTTGTGATAACACAAAGTTCTCCAGATGGGGCTGGAGAGGTGGTGCAGAGGTTAAGAGCACTTGCTGTTCTTGCAGAAGGCTCAGTTCAGTTCCCAGAGCCACGTCAGGAAGCTTGCAACCACCTGTAACTCTAGCTCTAGGGGACCCCATGCCCTCTTCTGGCCTCTGAGAGCACCCCAAAAACATGGAATACACATATACATACACTTATACAAATAAAATAAATCTTTTTTAAAAAGTCTCCAGACGTCACTGAATTCCCCTTTGGAGCAAAATTTCTATACCACCACCTTCTTTTTGTTCTGTTTCGTTTTTCAAGACAAGAGTTTCTCTGTGTAGCCCTGGCTGTCCTGGAACTCAGAGATATGCCTGCCTCTGCCTCCCCAAATGCTGGGATTAAAGGTGTGTACCACCACACCTGGCCCAAATCCTGCTTTTTATCATGTGATTCACGTCTTTAAGGCTCTGTGACTCAGTTTCCCCATCTTGGATTCTATAAAAGTTTGAAGCAGATCACTGTATAAGATTTCTGGTAGAGTCAAATGCTTAGTAAACACTGGTGGTTGAATAAACTGGAGAATGGGAAGGGAGAGTTTCCTGAAGCAGAGGCCAGGAGAACAGACAGAGGAAGCAGCCAGCTGTCCAGAGGAGAGGGGGTAATGATTACAAGGAAGTCATTACCTGAGAGCTTGCCTTCTTGGAGAACCTCACTGGTGGCTCTAGCCACGAAGATGATCCCTTCATCATCCTCTTTCTCAGACTCTGAACTGTCACTTTCTTCCTCCTCCTCAGACTCCACAGTTAGTATCACAGCAGCTGGACAAGGGTGAAAGCTGAGTCAGGGTGGCCAACCTAGTGGCTGCTTCTTGGTACCAAAAAACCTCAAGCAAGCTCTTTCTCCCCACAACCCCCAGGCAAAATCCATGTTGGCTGAGGCACCTGCATCCTTCAGCAGGTGTCCTTTGGGACACTGGCCTAGAGTGCTGGGCTTGAGGGAAAAGGAAATTGCATAGCCCAAGGAGAAAATCAAAAGGTGCTAAGTCCTCAGAGGAAGCCATGAGGGCCATTCCTCCTAGCTCTTTCTGCTGTCAGTCCCAGATCGACTGACATCAGCACCCACAAAGCTGAAAGGTCCGTTAACATTCAGCTCATAGGAAACTAGGTTTTGATGATGGGACACTAGGCCTTTTCCCACCTATCCTTTAAGGCCCTGGCCAGTCTACCCATTTCCATGACATTTCCCAAGACCTTTATAGACCATAGTCAGAACCAGCAATTCTGTCATACATGGTACACTGATATGAACAATTCCAACACTCAAGTATGCCCATCTAATCCCTGAGGGAAGGGGCCCAGCTCATGGTACTAAGTGTTCCCAGAGGAGAACCTCTAGGATCTTGATGGGAGGCCTTCTCCTTCCCTTCCCTCCTCCCTCCCATCCTCAAGCTCCCTGCTTGCCTGTGTCCTGAAAGCCCAGGTCTCGAGGAGGCTTCCCATTTGTAGCTTCAGCATTAGCCACACCATCCTTCTGAGGACCAAAAAGAAAACTCTGATCTTGAACCTACTACCCAACCCCAAACCCTGTGAAATGGCAAAGTCAACAGAATAAGCCATCCTAACCTAGAAGAAGGGCAAGATTTATCACAATGGTTCTATCACACCACTATTCCTTGGTCAGCCTGGCAGTAACTGTGGAGACTAGAGTGACAGAGGTTTTGGATATATGGGCCTGGATTAGACCTTTAGGGCTTCTAGAGTTACCTGGCCAATACCTCTGTCCTTTTCCTGTCTGTTTCACCTCTGATAGTAAGTGACCCCATGGCCAAGAGGCTGCCCTCCCTCTAAAGCCCAGACAGACCTAAAAGGAAACCCCAGCTGCTATAGTCAGCCAACCCCTTATGGTAATTTAACAAAGCATCTCCTTGGGCTGAGTTCCAGTATGTAAGGACGCAGAATTATTTATTACCAGCCTACAGCCCAAAAGAGGTGTCCCAGAGAAAAGATGCACCTTCTTGTGGCTGGTCTTGCGGGGTCGAGGCTTGCTCTTGGTGAAGGAGATGTTATGCTTGGTGGACTTAAAGGACTCAAGCCGTCGCTTCATGTTCTGCTGGAAGACCTCCTTGTCCTGTCGCTCCTGTGCGTCATCGGAGATGAAGTGGCGGCCACAGCTAGCTTTGTACTGGCAATGATAGCCCAACCTTGCCATAAGGCTGGGTGCCTTGCCTTCCCACGGGAACCCCAGAGCCACAACCCTAACATATTCATCACAGGTTCTCCCAGCCCAGCTTTTCCAGAATTCGCCATGGATTAAAAAATAAAATTAAAACATACAAAAGAATTACAGACAGAGACTCTGTACTCAGTTCACTAAGGAAAATTTTCCCTTTTGCCAAAGTTATTCCTCCAAACCTGGCTTTCCTTATCCTCTGCTGCCCTTTCCTCTAATTCTCTCTAATTTGAAGTGATAGGAGGTGAGGGGCCCTGTACCTTGTTCCCCGGGGCTACTGGAAAACCATAGAGCATGTCCATTTAGCTCTGTGTACCTATCCCCGGCTTGCTACACAGGATCCTCTTGCCAGCTAATTTCCTTCTAACCATTTCTACAACTACCACGACACCACGCCCATGCTTTGGACTTTCCCAACTATCTTCCCTGGCACCCTAGCCCCTCTTGGTCCTAGCAACTGCCTACTTAATGTACAGACAACCCTTTATCTGCTTCTTTCGACTCCTCATAAAGACCAAGCCCTCCACGTACTCACCCATCCTGCCTATTTCTGTCCTTGGCAGCTTAGCAACATTTTCCTATCTAGTGGAAGGAAACCACCAGAGTGCTGCTTAGAGAATCCCTGCTCACTTTATCTTGCCTTACATTCTGTTTAGTTCCTTTCTTGTTCCTCATATTTTCTGTTTCTCGAAACCACTTCTCAGAGCTCCTTGAAGTCTCCCATCTCTCTAAGTACCTGGAAATGCCACCCCACATCTGGGGCAAAGTGTCCCTGACTCAGCATTGCTCAGCTCACTCCTTCCTGCATCCCTCGGTTCTCAGATATCTCTTTTCTTCTGCATCTTTACTTTCTTACCACTTTCCTTCTGCTTTCAGACAAGCTCCTGCCCTTGTTTTTAAAGTACTTCCATTGATGATACTATCTACCTTTTGAGGCCAAGCTCTTATAAATTGATTTGGACACTTCCTTTCCTGTTCTAGTACTTCCTTAAATACCAAAAATGCTATTCAAGTTCCATAAATCCAAAACACCACTAGTCTTTGATCACTAGTCCTGAAGCCCCTGTAGGTACCAGCCTGACCGTTGCATAGCAGTTAGTCCTTCTAACCCAGGCAGAGGTACTGCCTGCTGTGCCTTCTCCAAGGGTTCCTTTCTCTCCTTTGCTGGCTCCCTATCCCTTTCTTTCATGGGCAATTCTCTGTATTATTCTTGGCCCTGCTTTCTTTCTCTAAACATTCTCCCCAGAGATCTTATGCATTCTCTCCACTTCAACTAACCCAGTGACATGAACTGTGGTTTCAAAGCACCAGGCGCCAGACCAGCTGCATTTGAGTCATCAGTGGGCTTATTAAAAACACAGATTCTTAGTCCCACTCCATATTACAGGATCTGCAACTGCAGGAGGCGAAGCCAAGAGTATTCCATTAAGAATCAGGGTAGTCAATTTCAGGGTAGTCAAATGAGATGACTTCTGCTGTAAATTCTTCCAAGTCTTTCTCTCTAGCCCCCTTCCTCTCTTAAGCTATAATCTTAACTAACTACATACTACCTCTAATGCTATTTCTGGAAAGAACGTAAGGAATTAGAGATGATGTCATGGTGCAACTGAGTGAATTCAGAACCAGTCGAATAACCATACCCCAAAAATGTTCCATCCATGTCAGTCTGGAGGAAAGTCTTTAGTAGCATGTCCTCAGCTCTATGCTGTTCAATATTTATGATGACTTAGATGAACATAAAGTTAACAGGCTTAGCAAATTTTCAGATGATATGAATCTGAGAAAGAGACATTTGGTGGTAGAGATGGGATCCAAATGATGGAATGATGGCTAAATTAAATAAGATGACATTTGACATGCAAGCACAAACTTACTCTGGTTCTTTTTAAAATGACTGTACAAAAGCTGAGTCCAACCCACTGGTTAAACCGCACGCACACACACACACACACACACACACACACACACACACACACACACACGAACAACACTCAACAATGTCCTCTCTCTGATATAATAAGAAGTATAGAGCATACCTGAAAGCCCCTGAATCTGATCAGGCTCCAGATTTAATAACCAGAAAACATAAGAAATGGAGTAACATGCTAAAAAACACTTGGATAGTCCATAAACTCTAGGAAAATGGTAAGTTCTCCAATATAATACATTTAGTTTCTTCAGTAAGTAGCAAGGGGGGAAAGAAGATGCTGTCACAGTTTTTCTTAATGCAGGACATATTTCCCAGATATAAACATTGAACTTCTTTTGGATCTTGAGCTATGCAAACCAGCTAAGAAAAACCAAATATTTATTGAACGCTGAATGAGCATTTGATATAAGAATTACTGTATTATAATCACAGTATTATGATTTGATTTTACTTGATTTCTGCAGTTCTGGGGAAATCAAACCCAAGGCCTCAGAGAAGCCAAGCCAATGTTGTACTGCTGTCCTATCTCCTCAGTCTGACCTTATTTTTTAAAGACATTGCCATCTGGGGTGATGGTTTACACTTGTGATCACAGCACTTGAAAGGCTGAGGCAAGAGGGTTCCCAATTAGAAGCCAGTCTTAGGGTAGCTAGCAAGACTATGTCTCAAAGAAGACAAAATTTAAAAATAAAAAAAACAAAGAGTTCTTGCCATATACTGAGATATTTATAGATGGTGTGATATGATGTCTGGAGTTTGCTGTAAGATAAAGTGTGGGCAGGGTGTGGTAGGTTAGAGAGCATAAAAATGTAACCATGCACAAAATTATTAGAATTGGGTAACAGATAAATGAGAGCTATTTCATTCTCTCTACTAAAAATTTTGCATTAAGAAAAGACATTAAAAGAAAAAGTTGGATGAGGTGGGTTTGACAGCCATTAACTGAGGAAAACGTGAAGGTTTGGTGGGGTTGGGAAGACAACATGAAGCCCTAAATTGGTTAGCTAAATCGGGGATCCTGGGTAGCAGAAACAGCAAGTCTAGAATAGGAAAGCAAGACAGCCCCTATCACTTGCCCTAGACAATCACCTAATAGCTCCTCCGTAGAGTATGGGAGGGGCCTTCTCATGGCCAAAGACAACACCAGCGGCAGAAGAGGCCACTGGAGCAACAGTGTGAGTAAAGCCACCCGAAAACCTTTGAAGCTTATTCTGCAGAAATGGGATTAAGAGAGCTGTGTGTAAATTAAACCACTTCTACCTCAGTGTTCTAAAAGCCTTGCCTGTAGTGCTGCCATGAATAACAGGTTCACATTTCAAAAGGCCCACGATAATGGCCTGCTGCCCCCTTGTGGGCTACAGAAGATCCTCTCCAGGATGGGATGGGCCTTTCCACACCCAAAGTTCCAAAGCTTCCCAATCTGCACAGGGCTAATCCACCTCTCTCCTGTTCCAAAGGCCTTCTCAAGTCCCTGCTTCCATCTTTGACCAGCTCCTCAAAGCTCCTTGTCCTCTATCTCTTCCTCTCCCCTCAGGGACAATATTCATGTCCTGTGTGCTCCTCTCCTTCCTAAACCCAGCTTCTAATCCAAAGTGCTTCCTTCTAGAGTCCCAACTGGTTCATCCTTCATTTCATGCCTTGTTATCTGATGTACACCGTGCAGTACTTCCTCCAAACCAACAACAAAAACCCAGCAAAATATGAAACCCACAGCCTTCAATTGGGCATTCACAGCTGGACACAAGCTGGTACCAAATGCCCCTTGAGTCTCTGATCAAGGCCTCTCCAGTCCACTCCCCACCGTCCTTGGAATTCTCATGCCCTGCAAGCTCTCACCCTGCGCCTCGGCTTGTAGAGGCCTCCACAGAGCAGGTGGTGCATCACAGCATCCTCCCGGTCTCGGCCACTGCGCACCGTGTCGATCACCTGCAGGTCCAGACATGCTCCGCTGCCGCTCTCCCTCCTGCAGGAGACAGGGATCTATGTGCTAGGGAAAGGGCAGCCCAGGTGAGGGGAAGGGCAGAGGCAAAAGTGTTGACAAATCCTCCCAAGAAGAGATCTGGGGGAGAAGAGCTTGAGGAAGGGAAGGAACTCACAACAGGTTGGTGACAGAGGTCTCTGCCATAGAATTTCTGCTAGGCATAGAGGGTAGAGTGAGTCCTGTGGAGGACAAGACGTGGCCTCCCTGTAGGAGTCAAGACTGAGGTCAGACAAGGGTCAGACGAGCAGTGGCCAAACAGAGGGGTAATGAGAATGACATGTGTTAATGATTATTTTGATATCTCTATTTTACTTTGAAGCAGTGCCGAGGACTACCCAGGTTCTCCAATGCTATGCAAGTGCTGAGCACTGAGCCACAACCCCTGATACTATTTTTGTTCTTTGTTATTATACTGGATACTGAAACACTTCACGTACTGAATTCTCAAAATCTGACCTAGGTAGTACTACTCTTTTGTTTTGTTTTTCCAGACAGGGTTTCTCTGTGTAGCCTTGGCTGTCCTGGACTTGCTCTGTAGACCAGGCTGGCCTTGTCTCTGCCTCTCAAGTGCTGGAATTACAGGTGTGTGCCAAGGCACTATTCTTAACTGCTTCTTTCTTCTCACAGAGGAAACCGAAGCTCAGGCAATGTAAGTAACTTACTCATGCATTGGCCTATACATAATAACAGCTGAGCTGGGCCTGCTGACTCCAACAGCTGTTTCCCACCTTTCTGTATTGCCTGCCAGACTCTGTCAACACCGGGCTGGCACCTGCTGCTCTGACACCCTGGAGCCAGCTGGGAATTCCAACTCCCTGCCCCTTGCTAACAAGCCCACCTGCCTGTCATCCCTTCCTGCCCTGCTGACCATCTGTCTACTCACCACTGGCCTACCTGGTAACTGCTGGCCCACCTGGTCCACAAAGCTGATGGCATCTCGGATGTTGAGTCTATAGTATACATCCCAGATCTGGTCTCGGATACGATAGGCTGACCGCCGCATCAACAGCTGACTCAGGTACTTCTTGTCAAACTGTTCCCACCTACAGAGGATGCCAGACCCAGCCCTGAGTACCATCCTCAGGTGTGGCTGGCTGGCCCTTCCTCAGACAGGGCAGGGGCACTGCCAGCATTGGCCTGGCTTTCTTGGTATGAGTCTCAGCCAAGGAGAATCTCAAAGCTAGTCTAGGCTAGTTCTTATAGCCTTTACAGTTTTAAGAGAGACTCTGTCATTAGTTGAAGCTGTTTTAAACAACTGTAAAAATTATAACCATGACAAAAATTACCAAGGATAATTATAATGGGATTTGTCCTTGCCAGGGAGGCCAGATGTCTCTAAGGAATCAATGCCTGTGGTGACATCTGAAGGATGATTCAAAGCCAAGTAAGAGAAAGGTGAGGCAGTGTTCTAGTAGACAGAACACATACAATGGTCTCAGTGGTCAGGCCTGGACCTCATGGTGGGCTCTGAGGCTCTAAATAGGGTCCGTGTAATTATCAGGAAGCCCATCAAAAAACAACAGAGCATAATAGTGTGGGAGTCTGGCAAGTGCCGGACCAGGCAGGGTCTGGCAGGCTACCCTGGGAGCTCTGTCTTATCCTGAGAACACTGGGGTGCCACTGAAGGGCTTCAGGCAGAGGTCACCCAGCCTGAACCTGGCTGTGTCCCTTCTCAGAAGGGTGGCATATCCCCCATGCTGCCCTGGCTGGTAGGGCCACTGCTGCTGAAGGAGCCTCGGGGCAGCTCCCTCACCTGTCCCTCCAGTAGTGGTAGCCATGGTGCCCCACAACGTCCTCCACTGCAGCCAGAATGTGGTCAAAAGTCTAGAATGGGGGTGGGTAGGGTGACTGGATCAGGACTTTGCCAACATAGGAGAAGGGAGAGAGGGACAGGTGGAGGGATGGGGTTTTGGTACCCACGTGCTCATGTAGCTCCTGGTTCAAGGTGGGTTTATGATGATCACTCCTCTTCACCCTCAGCCACTTGACCAGTGGCTTGATGGTCAAACCCTATGGATAGGTAGGAAGTGAGCCCTGCCCTATTCAGTTCCCTGCTGCCTTTCTCCCAATAACTAGGCCTCAGCTCTGCCTCCACCCATTACGCTCAAGCTCTGGGAAGCCAGGTCCCTGCTTCCCCCAATGGAAAAGGAAGCCCCTGTCCCAGAGTGTTCCGAGACTCTCCCAGTGTCTGCTGAACCTCTCCCCACTGGCTTCCTGGGCACTCCCACCTGCAGGATGACTGTGAAGAAGACCACCACAATAGTGGTGGCCACAAAGTAGTCCTTGGCAGGGACCTTGGTCCTGTCCAGTAGGATGACGAGAGCAAAGGCCACAGCCCCCCGAAGGCCCCCATAGGACATCACCACCTGGTCAATCTTGTCCAGAGGGACCAGCCGGAACTGATTCAGCACCCACGTCTGCAGGACTACGCCTACAGCAGGAGGGAGGCCAGCAGGAGCAAGGAGTTGGGAGTGGAGGACACCAGGAATGGATGGCGCCAAGCATCTGGGCTAAGGTCTGGCAGGGGTTAGTACAGGTGAGCACCGAGGGCAGGCTTAGGAATTAATGAGGAAGTGGACTTGGATTGAGGGGTGGGCAGTGGGGTGTGAGGGGAAAGAAAACAGACAGGAAAAAGAGCAGGGAAGCAGAGGGTGGCAGCAATACCGAGAGCTCGGAAGAACAGGATGAAGAAGAGGGTGCCCAGCACCAGCCCAGAGTCCCAGGCCCATTTGGAAGAGTCCACGGCTGAAATGCCAAGTAGCATGAAGATGACCGTTTCAGCGCAGCTGGCAAGGGTTTTCATTGTATATTTGACAGCTGTGCGTGACTTATGGGAGATGTTGGCCTCCACGTATTTCTTACATCCCAGGCCACACATGGTCACCCTGGGAGAGGAACAAAACTGGAAGTGAGGAAGGGTCCCAAAAGCTCAGTTTCTCTCAGGCTTGAGCATGCAGCAGGCGGGGGTGCGGCCATCACTGAGGTATCAAAACTCAGGGATGCATGAAGGCTGCTAGTTAGTGGTAGTCCTAAAATGAACACAGAGCTCCAGCCTTCCCACCTAGAGTCTCTTGCTCTGACCAGTAAACCCTCTGAGGCATCCTTCGGGGTGCTAAACCCATAACAACCAGTGGTTTCAGACCCTGAAGCATACTGGCAGCTTAGCCTGCACTTCAGGCAGAGGAAGTGTGAGACTTCAGGTGCACAGAGTTCTCCTCTGAGGAGAGAATGTGGTGTCCACTACCACAAGCGCTCTGTGATGCCTACAGGTTCCTTAAGCTCTTGCTCTTGGCCACGTAAATTGTGACTATTCCCAGGGCCCTTTCCCAGTTGCCTGCCTGTGACACCCCCCAGGACTCACGCAAGAATGGCAGACAACGAGGCCATTTCAGCAGTGAGGTAGGCTGCGTAGGCGAGGAGGAAGACCAGCAACGGCTCGATGATGCGGACCCGCTTGGTGAAGCGTGTGGTCAGGGCCAGGAGGAAGGCAAAGACTAAACCCACGGCTGCCCCGCCCAGACTGACCACAAACAGGGAGGCTGGGGGAGAAGTGGGGGTGTCAGCATGACCCCTGGCCCAGACCCTCCCCAAGCTGGGCTGACAAAACTCTTGCCTAGTGAGAAACAGAGGAAGGCACCCGCCACACTCCCTGGGACTCAGGGTCCCAGATCAGGATTCCAGGGCAAACTTCTCCCAGACCCCATTCTCCATAGAGGAAAGTAAGAATAGTCTCCTCTGTCCCAGTGCTGGCTGGCTGGGTCTCAACAACCCAGGAAAGGAAGACATTGAATGCTGGCCAAGCTGGGGGAAATACTGACCGACTCCCTTTAGGTAGTCAGTGACCTGCACGTTGGCAGAACCCATCTCCACAAAGGAGTTGCAGACCTTGTACAGCACCTGAGTGACAAGAGGAGAGGCAGGAAGTAGGAGGAGGCCACAGAGGGGAAGTGGGCCAGAAGAGGAAAAAAAAAGCTCAGATTCTATTTCCTCCCCAGGGAGCTGGGAGGAAAGGTCTAAGCCTGGTGAGATACCAATTGGCAGCCTAAGGTCAGGGGTTGGCAGTCCACTATCCATTCTCACCACAGTAACTGCGTCATTGAGCAGGGACTCGCCAAAAACGATGATAAAGAGAGTCTCGTTGACGTGCACCTCCTCAAAGACAGCCAACACAGCCACGGGGTCCACCGCTGAGATGAGGCTTCCAAAGAGCAAGAAGTCCAGCAGGCCAGCCTGTACCCTAGGGGCTACAGGGAGAGACACAAGACAGTCTTGATTGGTGAAGCTGACTCTGCCTCCCATGGCACTCCCTGTGACAAGCCCACAAGCTTTCCTACTGGGCAGAACTAAACCTAAAGGGAATTTGGAAAGCTGAGGAGACCTGCCTATGTCCTGGAGGCTTGAGCTGCCTGTGCCTAAGACCTTACTTGGCAAGTCAACAGCTGTTGTGACATTGGCTCTTGCCACTGTCACATGACTTCTCTTGGCCATGCCTCCTTATCTGTCTAATTCACAAGTGGCTAATAACCATTCAGGGGGTGCCGATAATAAAAACTGCAGCAGCAATCAAAGGAGTTGCCAGCAGGTAGAACTGGCTGCTGACCAGCTTTATTACCAGGATAACAGGAAACCGTTTCTCCCACACCTGTGATTCTCAGCCAAAGGGATATGGCATAGACACAATTCTCAGCAGGGAAGAAAGGTCTGAACACAACATGAAAAGTACCATAGGTGGTACTTTTAATAAAATAAAATCTCGCTAGCTCCAGCCCCTAACTCCCTTCTCCAGATCCCCGTGAGCCTCAGTTTCCCCATGTGCAAAGCAGAAATAATAATACCAACCCCAGAAAGCTCTTTATTTAGCTAGGACCTAATAAATGGTAAGGAGCCAGTACCACCGGTTATTACCACTATGATTAGAATCTGAGCCCTCCTTTTCCTTCCTGCTCCAAACAGGTCACTTTTTATTAAGAATACCAGACTGGAGTCCCTGGCTGGGAATTGCAAGCTTCTCCTTTTTACCTTAGAAAAAGTCTGAATTTTCAATATCAGGACTGAATGGATTTCTTAAGTCAGCAAAGAAAGAAAAGGTTGGGAGCAGCCCTAAATGCAGAGCCTCAATAAAATGGAGGCTAAGCACAGGCCCTAGTACCAAATGAGCATGAGGAGCTCTGCTTTTTCTTTCATTAAACGAGGTAAATTATACCTTACCAGAGTAACTCGAAAGATGCAATAGAAGAGAATGCCCAGCTAGCATTTTGTGGACAAAAAAAAAAGTATTTATTAGAAATAAAAATGAGAAATCACCTGGCATGGCTTGAGCATGCCCAGTACTGTAAATTCTTGCAGGGATGGTGAGGAAGCATGGCTGGCAAGTGGCAGTGTGGTGACAGAGGGCAGGAGGTAACAGAGTGCTACTGCAGGCTTCTGAGCTCCAGCAGCCCACACACAGCTGGCAGCCAGGCCCCTGCTCAGCTGTCACGCTGAAGAAGCGCAGATCCAACGGGCAGAGACCAAAATTAGAACCGAAGCCTATCTGAAGTCTGGCCAGGCAGTCCAGGTGGGTCTGACCTGCAACTGAGCTCCCAGGAAATGGGACATACCGCCATCTGATCTTCAGAGCTGGAGAAGGGAGTTAGGGGCCGGAGCTAGCAAGACTTTTTTATTTTATTTTTTACAGCCTAGGTTCTAGGGTTACTCACCTACAAGTCCAGCCTGCTGCAAGCCCCAAAGGGCAACACCTGTCATGAAGGCATTCCAGAGTGTGCCCACCACAGCATAGGTGAGGATGGCACCCAAGTTGTCAAAAAACAGCCGGCTTGGCATGAAATAGCCTGAGTCTAACACGATAGGAGGGAGCAGGAAAAGGAAGAAGGTCCCTGGTTCCAGCTGGTACTCAGCCTTCTTGGCCACGGCTAAGACAATGCCCCCCAGCACCAGGCCCAGCAAAATCAGCAGGCAGCTCTCAGGGACCAGAGATGTTACCTTCCGAGACAGGTGAAACACTGCAATGCAAGAAGACAGCAAGTATGAAGCCATGGACTATCTTCCACACCCTGGCCTATTCTATTTTACCAGTTTAACCAAAGTTAGAATCCCTGGCCCTGGGACCAATGCAAGAAGAAATATAGATTCTCCAACCTCTAAGGCTACAAACTTTCCATGGCTTCAAAGTTGTTTCTAGCCTTTTTTTTCCCCTCCCTTTCTGAAAATGCCCCTTCTTCTGTACTGCCATCCTCAGGGACTGACCCCATTTTTCTCCGAATCATCTGGAGTTAAGCAAATGCTAAATAGTCTCTCTATATCATGTATAAGATTGCTGGGGAAAGAAATCAGGGACTCTAAAATCAAGTTGCTTGGGTTTATAGGCTAGGTCCTCTATTTTACTCATTCTTTGACTCTCGGTTTTCTCATTTAAAAATGGGAATAAAAACAGTAATGATCGAATAGGGTGGTTGTGAAGATTAAATCAAACCACCTTCTTATAAGAATTTAGAGCGAGGCCTGGTAGGATAGACTTATGATCAATTTAGTACGCCTGTCTCAAAATAAAGTTGAGATACAGCTCAGTTATAGAACACTGAATGGCAAAGCATATCCTACCATTTATAAGGTTCTAGGTTCAATGTCCAGTAACTGGGTGCATCAGAAAACCAAGCACAATGGCAAACACCTGTCATCCTAGTACTTGGAAGACTGAGGTAAGAGGATTGCTGTGGGTTCAAGGTAAATCTGGCTTAGGGTGTTTTTTAAAGGTTTTATTTTATTTGCATTTGTATTTGTTTGCATGTATGTAAGTGTGTCCTGTATATGCCTGTATATGTCTGAAAAGGTCAGAAAAGGGTGTCAGATTCCCTAGAACAGCTGTTACAGGCAGTTGTGAGCTACCATGTGTGTCCTGGGAACCAAAGTGGAGTCCTCTGCAAGAGCAGCCAATGGCACCAAGCCATCTCTCCAGCCTCTCAACCTGGTTTATGTAGTGAGTTCAAGACTAGCCTGGGCTATGTAGCAAGACTTCTCGCCTCTGTAAAAGAAAAAAAAGCACAGAGCACATTGACTTATAGTAAACAATACATATGTTCACTATCAATATAACAGACCTATGTTAATATATTACTGTGATGTGCATATATATATACACACACACATGCATACATAGCTCCTTTTAGGCACTGTAGGCCTCTCAACCCAATATACATATTTCATTATACTGGCTCAGTTAAAAAAGCTTGGTGTAGCTAGGTACGGTGCCACATGCCTTTAATCCCAGCACTCAGGAAGCAGAGGCAGGTAGATCTCTGTGAGTTCCAACCTAGCCAGGGCTATCTAGTACTCTGTCTCGATAGATAGATAGATAGATAGATAGATAGATAGATAGATAGAGAGATAACTTTGTATATAACAGTCAGATATCAAAGCTTTCTGACCTTATCACTTTCTAATGATGTGATCTCAGGCAAATTTTTAAAAGATTTATTTGTTTGTTTGTTTACTTATTATTTTTATGTGTATTTGTGTACCATGTGAGCCCAGGAGCCCACAGAGACCAGAAGCAGGAGTCAGATCATCTGGAAATTGAATTACAGCCAGCTGTAAACTGCCATGTGGGTCCTGGGAACTGAACGTGGGTCCTCCACAAGAGGGGCTCTTAACCACTAACCCATCTCTCCAAGCCATGATGCAAATTATTTGATTTATGTAAACTTCAGTTTCTTCTCTTTAGTATGAGAAAAATAGCCACCATGAAGGGCAAAGATTAAAATAGAGGAAATGTGCAAATGTGCCTAGTATAGTGTCAGACACATAATAAGCTGTCAACAAACAGTAATTAAATTTGATTTAAAAGTCAAAAGTCAAATTTGAGATATCTGTCTCTAGGAAAAGAGGAGGATGTAAAAAAGGGATTTCTAACATTATTGTTTCTCCTGCCTTTGTCCCTAAATTATGGTTCTTCCTCAGCATTTTGGACATGCCCCATACAGTCCCTCAGGCACTGGTAGAGGAAGGATCTTTACTAACCTGAGTCCCTGTGCCAAAGCAATGCCCTTTGGAAATTGCACCCAAACGGTGCAATTAGCTTTTCCCTCCTCTCTGAGGACCTTCTTTAGCTGCTGAGGTCCATCTCTTTTTCCTCTGTAGGAGGTGTTATCTAAACTAGAAAAGGCACTATTTATCTATGATGTGGGTGCTATAAATCTTAAGTAAAACTGGAACTCTTCTACAATCCATGAGGCTCTCAGCAAACCCAGTCCTTACTCCAAATCTGAAGCTGCTTCCTCCACCTTGCTGTCACTGCTGCTAGGCCTCTGGGGTGAGTCCAGGAGTAGACCTTCCTACCTTTAGCCCCACCCCTGGTTTCCTTCTCCCCAGCATTTCAAATCCAAGATCTATGAAGAAGTCAGTTCTCTGGCAGAATCAGATTTCCTGAAGATATTTAGAGTCCCATTTTCCATTATTAATTCCAAGCTGCCAAGGTGGAAAGGAGAGTTCTATTCCAGATCCATTCCTCACCCTGTACCCCAGCAATATCCTGGGGGGGGGGGGGGGGAAGGGGGAAAACTCTAGGCTGTGGGATTCCTACATGGTGAGACTGGAGTACAAGCTGTGCCAGCATAAATGGAGAATGAGTAACAATGCTCAGCTATAATTAGTCACCCCCACAGCAGAGCTTGAACAACAGAGAGAAAGGAGGAGGGTCTCCGGTGGGAGGAGGGGCCACTGGCTGTCAGAAAGGGGGAAGAGGCAAAGAAAAGCGTCCCTAGCGGGGGAGGAAATGTAGGAATCTGAAGCACAGCCTTCAATGTGAGGACCGAAAGAGGTTGAGTATATATATGAAAGCTCCCAGGGTAGTCAGCACACAGTAAAGACCCAAGAAATGGAAGTTTCTTCAGCGGTGAGGAGAGGAATGTGAATTGGAGGGCGGGGTTGCACCTGGGTGCAAGAAGGTGCCAACAGCTTTAAGAGGAGTAGAGAGATAAGCTACAAAGAAAGCGGCAGTTTAGTATCTCAGTAGATAGTAAATCTCAGACTCTTGGCTGTATCTCCAGGACAGAAAAATTTCTCAGAACCAGAGAATATCATCTCTTCAATGTCCCCATACGTCCTCATTGACGACAGGTTTCTGAGAGGCTGGACGTCTGGAGGAGAGGCCTCACTGACGACGTTTACTGGGGAGGGCTAGCTGCAAGGGGAAGGGGAAATAGTGAAGAGTCTAAAGATGGAGCTAAAGAGAGCAGCGACAGGCAGCCTGTTAGAAAGGCAAATCCTCTAAACTACCAACTGAGAAGAGGAGGAGGAAGACCCACGGGAGGCGCAGGAAATGGGAGAGAACGGAGATTTGTGGAATTGGAGCCTAAGTCCCGGCACAGTGCAAGACACAGGATTGGATCTGGAAACTAAGGGGTTTGGGGGCGGGTCCGCTGCGGGCCGCCGGCTGGGCTCATGGGGCGCGCCAGCACACACACTCACCGATTTTAGCCAGGCTGGCCACCAGGATCCACAGGGCCACCAGGTAGGGCGCCTCCACCTCGTGCCACTGCCAGCGGAAGAGCGCCAAGCCTGGAGGAGGCTCACCCAACGGCCCCGACTCCTGGGTGGGTTCTTCCGTGGCCCCCGCCCCCGCCAGGGGCAGCCAGAGCAGAAGCAGTGCGGCGCGTAGCATCCTGCAGCTTGCCTCGCCGTTCCCCCGGCACTGCACGGCCGCCGGCCCGGCGTCGCTGCCGCCGCCGCCGCAGCCGCCGCCTACCCGGCGCCCCCGCGTCACAGGCACGTGGGGCTCACTCCCCCCAATCCGGGCTCCGATACCCCCACGCCAGGTCCGGACCCCGAGACCCTGCCCAGGACTCTAGCAGTTGGGATCCCCTCCTCCATCTCTTCTAGGTTGGTCTCATCTCCGGAAATTCCCCAGTGTAGCCCTCTTTCCCCCGAATCCTGAACCCACTCTCTCGAGGATGCTCCCCTAAACCGCCTCTCACCCGGAGTCAGCGAGGTGACCAGCCACCGCGTCCCGGGGCAGCGGGAAGGACAGGGGTCTCGGGGAGCAGAGACAAGCTACCGCGGAGTGCTGCCCAGCTGCGGGCCACCGGCTCCAGGTGCCCAGGCTGCGGGTCCCGGTAGCACGCTGAGCAAACCGCAGGGGGCGATGCGCTGCTGCCTTCTAACTCAGTCTCCAAAACCTAGGACCCCCTACCGGCCCAGTCCCAGACCAGAGCTGCGCACGCGCACTGGGCACACCCAGAAAGCCTTGATGGACACCGCTGCCCTCCACGTACCCAGAAACCTCAAGGCCGGGACCGATCCCCGCTCACTCCGGGGTGAAAAGGAGGCTATTCCTCTTGTCCCCGGAGCCGAGAGGCGCCGCCTTCCCTTCAAACTACAGGGAACTATTCGCCTATTCCGTGCTTCTGAGATTTTATGGAATTCCCTTTAAACTAGGAACTTGGGGCGTTTGACTCATCTCGCCCCAAACCGAAGACTGTCTCCACTTTTCATTCATCACTCAAGCTGAAGGAACATGTGCTACCTGCCTCCTCACACTGACTCATTCCATCCTTTTTCGAGAAAGTGCACCCATCCTGTCTTTTTTCCCCCCACACCTAAAGGGGGCTGAATCCACCTCTTCCTTCAAATATAAAATCTATTTCCACTTCTCGTTCCAAACTGAAAGAGATCCTTCTCACAGCTTTCCCCAAACGAGAGACATGCTTTCAGTTATCTTTCAAGCTGGCAACTAGTCCGCTCTCCTCCCTTAACTGAGAATGAATGGCCCAGCTATCCACATTATCAGAAGAGATTTACGCCCAACCTGCCCTAAAATCCCCACAAAGACCCGCTGCAGCCTCGCCCAAACCAAACCTAGAGCAAGTCTCCCCGCCCTCTGCTCTGAGGCGGAGCGGGAGCTCGGGTTTTCCCGCCCTCCTAGCTGAGGAACTAACGGGATCACCAGCTCTCTGACTGGCTGGCCCAAGCGCCGCCTCTGGCGATGGTTAGTTAACCCGACGCGCGCGCCCTCCATCTAGCCTTGGCCCCACCCCCTTCCTCAGCCCCACCTCCGTCTGGCCCCGCCCCTCGAGAGGAGAGCGTCCGGGGCCCGGCCCTAACAGCAGAGTTAGTCCAGTTGAAGTTGCAGCCGTGCGGGGACACGGAGGCGTCCGGTGGTAGCCGGTGGCAGAGCCATGGCGGGCGAGGAAGAGCGCGGGGATGGCGACCCAGTATCGGTGGTAACCGTGAGAGTGCAGTACCTGGAAGACACCGACCCTTTCGCCTGTGCCAACTTCCCGGAACCACGCCGGGCCCCCACCTGCAGCCTAGACGGGGCTCTGCCCCTGAGTGCGCAGATCCCTGCCCTGCACCGCCTCCTGGGGGCGCCTCTCAAGGTGAGAAGACCTGCGGAGAAGTTTGCGCCCGGAGGTTGAGGTGGGCGGTGGGCGGTGGGCGGTGGGCGGTGCTTCTGGGAGAGAGACGGTAGCGGGTGCTCGCCTCCGGAAAAGTCTCCGGCCGGTGTCCCACGGTCTACGTTACTCTGCCAACAGGGGGAGACTCAAGATGAGACATTGGGGAAGGAAAATGAGAGTTTGTGATTTGCTCCACCCAGGCTCCCCTTGAAAGTTAGGCCCTCCTGAAGAGGTGCTTGGAATCCCCTCGCTGCCTTTTTGCTAGGGTTGCTGCAGTGGGCATAGGGTAACCCTTCGGGTTGTAGCGGGTCGGGGAAGTGGAGTTGGGGAGGGACGGGTTTCCACCTGCTTCAGGTAAAATTGGGGGCGGAGCCGCAGAGAGGGGCGGGCTTGGGGAGGACCAGAGAGGAGGTCGAAGCTAGAAGCTGGGTTGGGTCTCTGGAATACAATCTCTCCTGGGCTGGTGGAGACTGGGAGTGCCACCCTGGAAGAGCGGAGTCCCTTGGAAGCGGCGGAGCGCTCCTAGGAGGCTGCACGGGTGGAAAAGCCCTTTGAGTCACCGCCCCCACGGTCCCTTAGGCCCGCCGCTGGTGGCCTACGCCTGGAAGAGAGGGGGCGGACCAGTCTAATTTTAAACCGCTGGCCTGCCCTAGTTTGCTTACGTTCCTGGGCCGATTTTGCACTGTTCGAGAGGCTTTTTTCCAGATGGCCCGCGGGACCACCCCTCCCTCCCGTTTGCCTCCCTCCAACCCCCCGCAGGCATCCCTTTCCGGCTTGCTTTTTCCGGGCCAGGACTCCCGGAGGCTTACATACTACCACCCTCCAGGGTTCCTGACCTGCGGGTTAGCTGGGAGCAGTGAGGAAGAAGGGAGGGAGTCGGTGGGGTGCCTCCAAACTGGGCGCGGAGTTGTGCAAACATGGCCCTTAGGCCCGGGGTCTCCCCTGGAATGTGCCCTGGGCTCCAGGCCCCCAGACTGCATTCCTTGCGTTGCAGCCAGCCCCGCCTCCCAAGTGCAGGCAGGAGGGGTCGGGAAACTTGGCCTGGGGAGTGGCAGGGTGTCCAGGCAGAGCCCCAGCATTAAGACCACAGCTGGAAGGATGTGCATGCTGCTCACCTCCAGAGTTTTGATGCCGCTTCTGTACTGCTCTGTAGAGACTCCAGAGGGATCTGGAGGAAACGTGTCCAGTCTGAGGTCACCCCAGCATTCAGTCAGTATTCGGACTACAGGGAAAAGGGTGTTGAACGAGGAACTGTTTAGACAGACTAGGGAGAAAGGTGTGTTGAGCTGGGGCTGATATGCTCTAAACTAATGAAAATCTTTGGCCAGAAAGAAGGCAGGGCCAAGGCCGTTTCATTTGCTTAGTATGTGCAAGGGGCCATGGGTTTGATCCCCTGTACCACAGATACATACATAGAGTTGAGAAGAGACTAATTCTCTTATTCTCTCACTCTAGGACACCCCTCTTCACAGTGGGGACCAGGCCTGGATTGTTCGAAAATGAGATTTCATTAGCCTCCTCTTCATTTAGAAAACTCATTGCATGTTTTTAGCCTGTACCAGTGGACACTCCTGAGCTCCATGAAAGATGTGTTTCCCACCCCAGCTCTGTACTTCCTAGTCTGAGTGAGCACCTTCAGGATCTCCTACCTGCTTCATGGAGAACTGCCTTCCCCCACCCCTTCCTGGGAGGCTTTGGGAAAGGCATAAAGTTACCACAGTATTGAGAGCCAGAACGCTCTGGAGTTGACAGCTTTGCCAGTAATGGTCAGATGCACTATGATGTGGTCATCCCAAATATAAACTGTGACCACAGACTCAAAATAGAAGGCTGGAGGAAGAGGGACTGAGAATAGGGCAGGGGCAGGGACATTAGAGAACTGAGGGTGGGGAGAGCAGGGCTCCTTGCAGGAAATTTCAACAGCTGGTTCCTCTCCAATTCCTATAAGTGGGTTCCCCAGAGGCACAGGCATTAGTTAAGTCTACCTTGCTTGCCTTCTAGAAGGGCTGGAAACCCAGGCATCCCTGTTGGAGGCTACAGGGCAGATAGGATGATAGGTTCTCTCTCTCCACTGCCTCGTTCTGTGTGTAGTTGTCTGACAGAAGGAAGATCACAGTCAGGAGACCTCTGCCCTCACTCTGGGAACTGTCATCTTTGCAGACCCTTTCTGGAGTTCCTACCCCACACCCTATTGCACTCCAATTCCCCCAGGGATTCCTTTTAAGCCATTCAGAGTTTTGCCAGTCTGAGAAACTTCGCTCATTTCCTCCATGTCTAGGAGGAAGCTCCTGGCCACAACCTCTGACTCATCTTCTGTCCTGGTTGGGGGCGGGGAGCCTGGCAAAACGTTAGGCTCTAGGCTAGGCCTAGTGTCCTTAGGGGAACTCCAGAGTCTTTCTCCCAGTTATGCTTGGGCTCTTTCAGCCTAAGGATTGTCCTGCCCCTACCCCTGGGGGTGGGTGGGGATTGACCTTTGATGTCTTAAAACCCTAATTCCAACCCACAAGACCTAGCTTTTCTTCTAGGAAGAGCTTAGAAGCTTTTCCTAAACGCAAAGGCCCTGTTGCATCCGGTGTACTACTGATATTTCCCTGGGCTCTGGGCAGAAGGACCTGGTCTGATTTTTTGATCTTGCAGTAAAGGCTAGAGTCCCCTCTTACTGACAGCAAGGATTGCCCTGAGGTGTTTGGTCTCTGCCATCAGTTTCCTCAGCTGGAGGTGACTAAAAGAGGACAAAGGTGCCAGAGAGTATGTCCTTATTCCACTCCAGCTTCCGTTTACCCCTCAGAGCTCTTACGGCAAGAGAGCTCCAGTGTACACCTGACCTGCAAGGACAGATGCTAACTGAGGGGGTCCCCAAAAATAATTTTGGTTTGTCTTTTGCAGTGCTGAGGATAAACCCAAGGCCTCGTGCAGGCTAGGCAGGCACTGCACAGCTAAGCTACATGCCCACTCACCCTGTTCCCCAACCTAGATTTTGTTGTTGTTCAGGCAGGTTTCACAGCTGACTTCAAATTCTCATTCTTCCTACCTCAGACACCATGACAGACATACGCCACCATGTCCATTCCCCTAAGGATTAAGAGGCCTGTGGAGGTTTATCTGTTGGTAAACTGAGCTTTTTAATCTTCTGCTATGGGAATCTCTGGAAGAGTAGAAAATTGGCGCTTCAGTTACAGTTTCCCAGCCTGTCTGTAGTCTGCAGGTGCTGGGCCTTCTAAAGAAGCTGAGTTACAGCCTGGTGAGAGACGATACAACCTAGGTCCTGGAAGGGGTA